TTCACCTCCTCTCCCCTTTGAGCCGTGATGCAATTGGGTTGGCTGCAAAGGCAGGACACGTTGCTCTTCCTTCCTCACACACTAAGTTTTAACACCTACACAGCATCTCCAGCAGGACCATGTGTTCTGTAAGTGGGGAGGGGTGGACGAACTCTGCCTTAAGAACAGTAAGGACCTAAAGTAAAACTTCTTTAATGTGTGTTGGCCCACCATTTAATTCCTGCCACCTGCACAGGGCAAGAGCCATGCCTCAAAGCCTGAGGATCCCTCTTGGGCTTAGGACTAAACACAGGTGGGCAGTGCCAGCATGGTCTTGGAGACACCTCAGGTTGGTCAAGACCAGAGCCACAAGACTGAGCCTGGTGAATATACAAGTATGTGGTGTTGCTCCCATGAAGTAGCATCAAACCTCTAAAGAAACATGAGGGTAAGAAGATTGGGCTGTAGTGACTAAAGGATTAAGCCAGTGCTGTTCCTCCACCCTCTGCACATTTCTGAAAGTAGAGTCATAAAATAAGTCATAAAGCAAGATTCTTTTTTTTGCAAATCTCGTCTCAACAGTAACAGGGCAGGCACAAAGGGAGGCAAAAGGCATTGCCCAGAGAGGTGGTAGATGTCCCATCCCTGGAAACATTCCAGGCTAGGTTGAATGGAGCTCTGAGCAATACGATCTATCTGGAGATTTTCCTGCTCACTGCAGGGGGTTTGGACTAGATGGTCTTTAAAGGTCCTTTCCAACCCAAACTCATCTGTGATTCTGTGATCATTTCTGAAGGTCACTCAGAGCCATCTTGTGTTGGCTTGGTGATTAAATCTCCTTGTTCTACTGTGAATCTTGGAAGATGTGGCAGACATCTCCATTCAGCTTGGGAGGGCTGAGCTGAACAGGCTGGAAGAAGAATGCAGCAAAGATACAGCCAAGACTCCCTTGTTCTCAAATGCCTCCAAACTTTACAAAGAAACCAGACAATGTCAATGTAATAATAATGGAGATAAAAAGTAATCCACAGCAGTCATTACCCTTAAAATGATTACTGGAACTGAGCGAAGGAGAAATGAAGTCATACTTCTCAGGGTCTTTCAAGCTGTTTCCATAGGGAGCTTGGTGTGCCTTTGAAGCTACTCTTTATTTGCAGTGAATGCCTGCCAGCTCCTTTCTCCTTGAGCCTGGGAGCATTAAATGGCAAAATAATTTATCCAGCTTCCCAGTTCCACATGTGCCCTTCCAGGTAGGACTCCATCTAGAAGAGCTCTCCTGTGGTGTGGCAATTGCTCCTGTTGTTGCCTGTATGCCATGGTGGTAAACTGCACATGGATTACATCAAATTTGTCCTCCCTGCAGTCACCCATTGGGACAAATAAAGGAACACTGAATTACCCTCTTACCCAATGTGAATAAAAGGTGGGATCCTGCTTCTAGCCACTTTCCCCAGGATGTAGATCAGAGCAAGTAGTCACCCAACCTCCACATGGTAACACTGTGTTTATGGACTTGCTCTGCAACCCATCTTAAATTATCAGGCTGTGTCCTGCTACTCTGAGGAAGCAAAGACAGCTCTTCACATCTCCTCATCACTGATGCAGACTGGAGGTATTCTTGGATTTCCCAGAACAAGTTTCAAGAATCCAATTGTGACTAAAACGGAACAGCAGTGAGAGGGCTGTGAGCAGTGATTTATCACTGAACCCCGAATCAATGAGTAAGAAGCTTCATCAAGTCCTTAGTAATGCCTTAGTGCTCCTCTACAGAAAGGAACACATACATTGTACTACAGAAAAGCTGCCAAAATTATAAAGACAGGCAAACCTCAATGGTCATTTATTCTTCTTCCTGCCCTGCTCTAGTGGCTGCTCCACCTGCCAAGGCCCTGAGCTGTGTGGGATGTGAGATTACAGGAGTGGCCCCTTTGAAAGATGCAGGGGTAGAAATGACCCAGGCAGAAAAATGAAAGGTGACATGACTGCAAGAGCTGCTGACCAAGAGCTGTAGAAAACTTGTGGCAGAGAAACCATCTGCACACGGGGAAAAAATAATGTCCCATCCCTTGAAAAGCCTGAGGTAAAGTGGCTGTAGCGGGATGATGTGGGATTTGTCTGCTCGTTATCAGTGACTTTTGCTGGGGAACCACGTACCCAAGCCCTACGTTGCCTTCTGCCAGGTGTAACTAGAGAAAAGCAGGGGGTGGGAGCGAGGGGAACGTGACCTCACACATGAAGTCTCCTCACCTCACTGCGGCCTGCAACTCCAGAGCTCCCCCAGGCAGGAAACGCAGGGGAGCGACAC